GGGGGGTGCGCGTGTGTGTGCGCGCGTGTGTGTGTGTGTGTGTGACGGGGGAGGGATGTGGATGAGGAGCGGGCTCTCTTTCTTTCTCGCAGTGCTCAGTTAATCCTGCTGTCAGTCGGTGTTAAGCAGCAGTCTCAGCGCTGGATTCCCACAGAAAGAGACGCCCGATCCCGAAGGCGCAGCAGAAGGGAGGCGAGGGAGCCAGCTAAAGAGAGCAGAGCGGGGGAAAAATCAAATCTATGCTTGGAACTGGGCTTCTTTTTCGCCAATGCAAAAGGGAATATGCAGCACATTTTTGCCTTCTTCTGCACCAGTTTCCTAGGGGCGGTGTTAGGGGCCAATTTCCCCAACAATATCCAGATAGGTGAGTGCAGAGCTCGGGGCCCTTGGGGAGTGACGTTCCCTGGCAAGTGGTAGGGGTGGAGAGGGGGTGGTGGGGAAAAACTGACCCGTTCATTTGCTTGCCAAGGAAGAACGCGTGTGTGTGTGTGTGTGTGTGTGTGTGTGAAAGAGAGGGGGTGAACTGCACGGGCTGGATTTGTGCCGTTGGTACGAGCTGGGGAGGCTACTGCAATAGCAGAGATGTATCAATTTGTTTTGGGGGGAGGGGAAGATAGGGAATAAATGCCTGCACACACACCAACATAGAGGGAGAAAAGTGCCTCTGAAATGGAGGAAGCGCAAAAAAAAAAAGCTGTTTCTTGCTATGGGAAGTGTCTGGGCTGCCATTGTGCATTGCTGCATTTGCAAAATCAGCAGTTGCATGATACGTTTTTGTGAGGATGCTCTCATCTGTAGGTAACTGGGACGAGAGGTAACAAACAGGCGCTCTCTGTTGTTGTTGCTAAAGAATAAGGGCAGAGCTAGTGGAGGAAGATGTTACACTGAAATCTCTCTTCATTTCATGCTGCTTGCTTCCCCTGTGCACCAGCAGTGCCTGTTTGATTCCTTTCCCCCCTTCACCCGTTCTGTAACTTCTCAGTGCTCCTCATCCCCCTCCCCAGGCTTGTTATTACTCTCCCATTGATCTTTACTGACAATGATTTCTAATCAGGTCCCAAATTCCCTTCCCTTGCATGCTGCTTTTCTTTCCCACCTCTCCTGTCTTTATGATGCTAATCCTCCAAGTTCAAGCAACTCCTGCCTTAGTCCAGCTGCACAACTGGTGCTTTTATTGCTGTTTATGCTGCATCCTTGTCTCCCTCCCTTCCTGCCTCCCCTTTACCCCAAATCTATGCAACATCTCGGATTCTTTCCCTCTCAGCAAACATATATAATAGCTTAACTTAGCTGCTAGCTGCTTCTCTTCTGACACCCATCATTAGGCATGGGGGAGAAGAAGGGCAGGGATGTTCATGCACAAATAGTCCTCCCTGCACAAGGAGATGCCCTCTGTACAGGAGATGTGAAAAATGCCGTTATTTAGTAGGTCCCTGCACACTCATTTCTCTCTGGAGCCATCTGCCCTGGAGGCAGGTATTGATACTATCTGCGTCTTTATCCTAATTCTACCTTGTTGCTGAGTGCTTTGTTTCCATATCTGTAAAATGAAAATAACAATGCTGCCTCTAAATGCATATAGATTACACGACAATCCAAATCTCATAGTATCTTTCTGGAAGATATGAAGGGCTCTGCCGCAAGCCAAGTTTCCTGCAGTGGCAGCAGCAGAAACTTTTCCAGGTTATCCCTGCACTTTGTTCCAGGGGAGAAATGAGGCTCTGAGCCTGGGTCCAGCCTGGTCCCAGTTTGTATCCTCTTTGTACTGCCCTACAGTTCTGGGCTTGTCTGTATTTCTCTTCAGATCCCTCTCAGGGCCGAGTTTTCAATTCACACCCTCTCTTGAGTTTGACCACTGTCACCTGTTAAATGAATTTGAGGCTTCTCAGCACAGCGAACTAGCAGCAGCAGGCGTTCTGGCCCAGGCAAGGCTGAGTGTGGCTCCGGCTCATGGTGCGCCCTGGCCTCCGTCCTCTGGCACTACCCAGGCTGGGCTCTGCTGGTCTTCCCCAGGAATCCATCACCCCAGGGAGTCCCTTCCCTCCTCCTGGAGCAAACCCCTCCTCCGGTTAACAGGGGGGGGCAGGTTTCACTCTGGGCCTAATTATAAATAGGAAGAGGAAGAAATACTCTAATTCCTGCTCTATAAAGGTAATGTTGGGAGCGCTTCTGTTTCTCCTCCTTAAAGTTATGGGTGGTGAGGTTGAGCCAGATCCCACAGTTCAGCCTGACCCTGTTGCCCACCAGGCCCGAGGAAGCATCCGGGCTGCTGAATTTGTGATCCAGGTATTACATAATGCATGGTCTGTAAAGGTTATCTGCTCCTAGCCTGTCTGCAGTGGGCACAAAAGCCCCTGGGGTTTTGAGTGCAGGAGAGTTTCGGGGTATCAGGGCGCTGCCTGAGCTGGGGAGCTGCAGCCTCTGCTCACAGGAGTATTTTGGACCAAAGTACCTTTTAATATCAGTATGTTTAAGACCTTTTTTTATGTTCTGTTTTTTTTTTTTTTCCCCAGGAGGGTTATTTCCTAATCAACAGTCCCAGGAACATGCGGCTTTTAGGTTTGCGTTGTCTCAGCTCACGGAACCCCCTAAGCTCCTTCCTCAGATTGACATTGTGAACATCAGCGACAGCTTTGAAATGACGTACACCTGTAAGTAGTGGCGTTTGCCGTGTTTTCTCTTACTTTGGTTTCTTTATTCCTGGTGGGGACTTTTTGCATCTGAAATATGTGATATCTTGCTCCAAATGTGATTCTCCATCAAGGTCCTTGCAAAAAAATCCACATGGGCAAGAGATCTCTGAATCCTTTGGATCTGTGCTGAGACATACAGTGAGGTAGTGCTGCGCTTATTCAGCATGTCTTAAATTTTCTCTTTTGCTGCTTCCAAAGTACCATAAACCGCCCCAACAATTCATTTCCTCTTGGTTCGCTAACCTCTGCCTGACTCACCACATCGAGGTTTCTTTCCTGTGTTTCTAATAGCCATGATGTGCAACAGAGACACCCCTTTCCACCCACTGGAGGCACAGAAGTGTCTGTTTAGTGTGAACAACTTCTTCTTCAGCCCCATTTTAGCCATCTGTCCTCTCACTTGAGAAAGACTTAGCATAAAATAGCAGCGTGGTGCAGGTGGAGTCCAGATCTAAAATAAGGGACTTGCCCAATAACGACAGAGAGGTCAGAGAGTTCTTGTTTCAAACAACAGTGAAATTATTGCCTCCAAAAATGAGTATTTAAGATAGAACTGGCACAGCGGAGTCGTTCCTAGGGCTTAGTTGCACACTGCTGAAGCACAGCGCAGTAGCTGAGCTGTTCTTGTTATGTGATAGAATTGGGAGAAGAAAAAAATGGATTGCCAGGTGATGCCAAGACTAGCAACAAAAAAAGGCCAGAAAGGAACCGGAGGAAAGCAGAAAAAACAAAACACAGCCCTGCAGTTGCAAGAGGGAATATTGCAGAATTTGCTTCCCTTGGCATAAGCAGTGCATGGCTCTGTAAGATGGGCTAGCGCTGCCGGGATTTGATGCACAAAGAATTCTTCAGTTCGACCTAGTGTCAGACACAGTGCTTTCATTCTCTGTGCGTGCATGGCTGTGTGTGGGTATGAGGACCGGCAGTAGGAACAGGAGGGACTGAAGGAACCCTTTCCGTTGTAAAGCTTGGTGGGTTGTTATTGGCTCGCGTCTGTAGTATCCTTTTGATTCACTGAAACATCCTCTCTGCAGTTTAGTCATGTGAAGAGTGGGATAGAGGTGGACACAAACTGTTCTCTCTGCTGAAGATTACACAGAAGGGAGAAATGCCTTCCTGCAAAAAGAATCCAGGCGTGTGCAGGAGGAGAATAAATGAGGCTCTTTGAAGAAAAGGAAAGTTGTGTTTTTTCCTGTTGGTTGTTTGCAAGTACAAGATCGCAGGAATTTCTTGGGACATAGAAGGAGAGAGAAGTAATAATTTGGCCACCCTTTGACTGGAGAATCTAATGACACATCTAAAGATTTTCTGTTTTCCTTAATATCCCTCTATTTGCCAACTACAAGGTTTCCATCAAGCAAGAGCAACTATTTCAGCCCAATCCAATAGCACTTTCTTGGCAGAAAAAATAGACAAATATAAGAAAAAGACAGACCTTATATCTATCAAGGGAAAGCATCACCCACCTGCGGCAGAGTTGCTGACTGTGGCTGGGAATAAGCTATTTCAGTGCTGATAGCAGTAAGAAAGCACAAACTGCAAGAATATGTCAGTAATTCTCCGTCTGTGCGTAGTTTTCCCTCCCTCTGTACGCCTGCCACTAATGATTTTGTTTACAGCATTAGCAGTGATAGCGAGACCAGCATGGTGGTTATGCTTAAGAAATCTGTCATTAGTATCATGGGGGCGGGGGTGGTCTCACAAAAGCTGAACGGAAACAAGGCATCCTCCCAAAGGATGTTATATTTGAGCTCTATGTAGGGCACATTGTCCTAGATCAGACCAGCAAAGCGCTCTGCACAGTCCAACTTCACTTGTCCTCATTTTTTTTTTCTTAATTAAAAACTTCCCGAGTTCTTCAAGACTATGACAAGCAGCATTTGTTTTGTAAGCACAAAGGAGGGTGTTAATCCATGTACCCTAAGGGGGAAAAAAAAAAAGCAGGCTGTGGGAGACCTGGGTTTGATACGCTATAAAGCTAGGTGAAACTTTTGCCAGGAATTATCTCCATCCTTATCTTCCAGCAAATTCCCTGCCCACTTGCCAAGACTAGATATTAGCAGAAAGATCTGTTTATTTACAGAGAATAAACCCTACCCACGCAGTGGTCCTTGTCTTCTGAGAAAAGACTGTCCATGCTACCAGTTACAATTACCAATTTTTGTTCCCATGGAGATAGAGAACATAGCATTTCGCTGTAGCTGGAATTACCTGTTTCTCTGATGGTTCAGCTGAGGGTGTTTGGACACTGTAAACCTGGTACTGGCCGTCTCAGGGACTCGAGCAGAACATCTGAGTAAAAGACTACCAGATCACAGCCCCGTGGCAAGTCCTGCCTCGTGCTAGAATCCAACCTCATGTGCTAAACGCAGTCCTTAACGGCAAGCGCCTGAAGCAGCATCGTTCAAAGTACAAAGCATGTATTAAGAGCCAACAGTGACTGCAGAAACAAAAATCCTTGTTGGGCCATTTATGAGACAATAATGAAGTGCCAGGATGAACTGCGGCAAAATGACAGCACCCTGTCTAAGGAGATAGCATACAAAATCTGTCTCAGCATTGACTGTGACACTGTCTACCTCTGACTGACATATATCTGCTTACCAGTAAGGATGAGCAAGTTTCGGTGTGACAGTGGATGAACTTACAGTATAAAATGTATTCATTTGTGCACAGGTGACAGTGATAGGAAACTGGTAATGATGTGCTAGTAATAATTGTAAATTGGTACCAGTAATATCCATGAAGGTGGGAAACCCTGAAAAACATTAGGACGCTGCAGTTTTTGCTGTGCTGTCACTGTGACAGCTCAATAATAATTTTCACGTTTCTGATGCTTCCAGTCCTGGACTTGTTATTGTTGCACAGTAATTTTGAATACTTCCGTGTGGTCAAAGTTAATCTAAGGTTCCTATGAACCTTGGGCATAACATGTCAGTAGATTATGATTTTAAGTAAACTTTAGACATTAAGAAAGCAAAAATAGGTGGCAAATACAATGTGCGTGTCATATGTCATGCGTGTGGGTAATACTAATGTTGCTGCATCACCGCAATATGGGTACATTTCAATAACTGAAATATATTCCTGAATACATTCCATCCCACCAAATATATCGTAATGAACAGGCTCTATGTTTGCACCTGGGTGCATTGTGAGGCTTGCCAGCCTCTGCCACATGAAAATACACATCCTGCCACTTTGAATATTCTTAGATAAAGGTTAGAAGACTTTATGCTTTTGTGCTGCTTCTCCTAATGCCAAGATAGTTGTTTCAGGAGAAGGTAAATTTACAGTCCTTCCTTCAACAGAAGTATATAGCAGTGCCAGGTGACTCTAAAGGGTAAAATGATGGTGTGGTGTAGCAGAAGGGTTTGTATAGTGATGCAGCAGAGCAAAACCCTTCTCGTCACCTTTGAAGACGTGTTCTCAGGTTTTGATTTTGGCTGTGACTGGAAGAGAGGTTTGTGGCCTCAACATAGTCTCCAGCAAACGCTATCCTGCCAGGTTTTGCTGTGAGTGTCCTCTGTGCTTGGGCAGACCTAGCTCGGCAGGAGATGCTGCAGGTCAGAGCGGAGAGACGGGGGAAGAGGGCTGCTGTGTGCCAGCTGCAAGGGCACAGGGAAGGTTGAAGCTTAGGAGGGAGCTGCACATTCCTATGTCTGTGAGGTCCGAGGTGGACAAAAGCACAGCGCCCCGTTGGCAGCAGAGGGATGACTTGTCTACGAGAGACTTACTTGAGGCAGCCCGTGCTGGATGCCCTTCTCACCTATCCTACCTCTCAGCCTCCATTTATGCCCATGTTTGTGCTCATGCTGTGCATGAGGTGGGGGCCTCCCCGTGCAGCTTCTTGGGGAATGCATGTTGTTTCAGCACCAGGTCCTCAGTGTTGTTTAGGTTATGGTGTGGGAGCTCCTGCAGCCAGCCTCTGGCTGGAATCCCCAGGGAAGCCCAGGCAGGACGGCAGCTGCCATGCTCGCTGCCTCGATGGTGAGCTGGACGGGGAAGGTGATGGCGCAGCAGCTGCCCTGGCAGTGTCCTGGGAAAGGTGCCGCACTGAGCAGGGCTCACAGGAGGTGAGTCGCCACCTGGGTAAATCCGTCCCTGAAGACCCATGCCACTTTGCAGGGATAGCTGGACACTAGACATGCCCATCTGCTCTGAGCCCTGGAGCATTGCTGGTGCAGCAAATAGCCTTTGTGTATGCGTCGGTGTTGGGCTACCGAGAAGAGACGTTCAGGAGCTGGATCCCTGAAACAGGGAAGTCTGCAGGAGAGCGGCAGGATTTTGCAGCTGCGTGAGAAACTGCAAAGAGGCTGAAAACCAAGATCCCTATTCTTCAATGAACTAGGTATCTGTCTCTCTGCAGGCACGGTGGGGTCCTCCCAGTGAGCAGGGTCTGGGGGTGCTGCTAGAATATCAACAGTTGAATCCGTAGCATATGTTAGAAAATGAACATGCAAGTTGCTGCCTGTTCATGTTTTAAGAAGGCCTCCCACCACTAATTAGGAAGGGATTTGTAGTGATCCCTCACTCCGTGCTTATGTTCGTATCAATAACAGCAAGCTTAGATTCAGATCAGCTATAAAATGAAGTATTTCTTTTTTCTTCTTATTCTTGGATACATACATATATAGATACAGTATTTCTGGAGATTGCTTTTATCTCTTAAATTACCTCTCCGAGACAGGAAGGAATAGGCAAACATTTGAATGTTCTCAAACGAGGATCTAAATTTGGCTTAATTAAACAATTAGTGCACACTGAATTAAAAGAAGCTTCTTTGTTGACAAACATATGGTGGTCGCCATTTCTTGGAAAGGTGTTGCTGTAATTATTCCAGCAGCAATCAATTAAAATGCAATTTTTATAATTAAACTTTTGCAATCCAAATAAGCCCAGTCCTTGTTGTGATGTTGGTAGGTTTATTTTTATTTTTGCAGTGTCACAATCTCACA